TACACATGTACATGTGTATGAGTATATATATATATATATATATATATATATATATATATATATATATAATGTATATACACATGGATAAACACACAGACAAAATATATATATATATATATATATATATATATATATGAAGATGCATGTGTAAGTCTGAAGTATGACTCAAAGTTATTAGTTGAATTTTGATCTGGAATTTTTACTGCATAATGTTTGATTCATGAGGTTAATATTCACCACTAAATTAAGTACATTATCAGACAAAAGTTTACGTTAAAAAATAATATTTGTTGCACAATATATGCACATGCATACACACAGTGGACTGTTGACCTCATCTTTGTTGCCGTATACATGTTTCGGCAGTGCTATTTATCCTATTTTTAATCACCACAGGGAAACTTTCCTTATCACCATCAACCTTCTTGGCCTCACATTTTCATTTGTCTTCAAGGGGAACAACAACAGTGAATCAATAACTGCTTGGTTCACTGTGTCATACTAGAATGTTTTTCTCATCAGAGTCCATCTTGCACATTTACAAATCTACCATTCATCTGTACATTGAATACTGTTGACATATCTGGTCTGGTGCTCATGCTATTCATCTCAAGGTTCTTGACAAACTCCAGAGAAGGATCTGCAATGTAATCAATCCTGACTTGGCATCTTGACTTCAGTCATTTTCTCACAGACATGATTTGGGGCTTCACTCTGTCTTTTCTACAAATATTTTTATGGCAACTGCACTGACAAGCTGTTTTTCCTAGGGTCCTGATTACATGTATTTAAGTGTACTACTAGAATGGCATTCTTTTACTGTTGAAATAGTTGCATGTAACCACCATTTCTACTACAACAGTTTCTTTTCTCATACTCCCACCTGTGGAACTCCCTTCTGTATAATTGCTTTTCTTAAAATTACAGTTTTCAAAAAGTTAAATGAAACATCAATCACCATCTTCTGTCTTCTTGAATCACATTTATCTTTTAATCTTTCCTCAATCACCCTCATACCCAATTTTTTTCTCTCAATTTCACTCTCTGTGACCCCCATGTACTAGTGGCATTCCCACCTTGCTTGGGTTGAAATGATTAAAAAAATAAACATTGTACCTTCTTCAGGTGATATATGATGGAATTTTGAACTGAAACTTTTATTTAGTCCACGGGGACAGATTTTTCTAATTCTAGATGACATGACTTTTTTGGTAACCTTTTTTTCTCTTTCTGATTATATTTCCTCATTTTGTATCTAACATCCTCTCTCTTTTCCTCTAGAAAAAAGAAAGAGTATATATATATATATATATACTCTTTCTTTTTTCTTCATACATTTTCTTTTCTTGTTTGGGATTTTTCTTCTTTACAGTGTTAGTTCATCTGGCAAGTTATCTGATGGTCACACCAACATCATTAGTTTTCATTTAGTGTATATATATATATATATATATATATATATATATATATATATATTACTTTGGTTGGCTTTTTGAATTAATCAATATTCACAAAATAATGCTTGCCTTTATGTATTTTTGTTTCTTTTATGTCCGTGCTTCCTTTATTTCCATTTCAAGCTTTCTTACTGTTTTACATCTCAGTCTTTTGTGCTTTCTGCTTTTAATTTTCATAAACTAATCATTTTGTTCCTTAGTGTAACAATATTAGCTTTATTATCATATATGTAAAAATGTGGTTATTCTAGTAATCTTGTATCACACTGGTTGTATTAAAATTCTATTCGCTGTTCTATGGCTGATAACGGTCAAACTCCGGAAGCCACTAGAGGTAGAGGATTACATTAGGGTGACATTTGGAGGGTTTGTGTGTATAGGAGTGGAATATAATGGTTAAATCTATCCTTGAACAGGTTAAGATTATAATGCTCGAGGAAACCTCCTCTGGAGTCGGTTCCACAGAGCAGTGGTTTATGGGCAGAAGCTATTAGAGTGGAACTTACTTCTCATCGATGGAATACAGATGGAGTGTGGTTGGTTTACTACTATGTAAGTGGTATGGCATGTGCATACCATGAAGGTTTGAATTGGTGGGGTTAGGGAAAGTAGCTCATCTGAGCAGTTTCCTTGGAAGTAGCAACAGAGTAGTGAGAGACACACCACATCTCACCTGTAGGAGAGAATTTGGAAGGTGAACTTGTCTCTCTCTCTCTTTCACAGGTGGAATGTGTGGAAAGCCTTTCACTGTTCTGTCACTACTTCCATGGAAATCGTTCAGACAAACTAAATTTTTAGTTCTGTCAGGTCTAATCTTCACAGCTATTGGCAAGAAGTAAGTTCCACTTGAACAGCTTCCCACAAACCATTGTGGAACAGACTCCCAAGAGGATGTTTCCTTGATGAATATAATTTTAACCTGTTCAAGTCTAGAGTTAACCATTATCTTCCCCTCCTCTCTGTATAAACTACCGCTTAACTCTCTCCACTTCCAATGGCTCCCAGGCCTTGTACCGTCTTGTAAAAAAATATATAAATAAGCA